TGCCGCAACACGCTAGGCAATTGCGATGGTTGCTTGAACAACATGCTAGGATTACTTCTTATACATTCAACTTAATAACAAGTACAACCGCAATCCTCCTAATTGAAACGTCTGCTTGGGCATAATGGACTTCAAGCTACCTCTTAAACTCGGTTCCACACTTACACGAACTAGTTTATGTGCTCCCATAACCCTCGTCTACTTGTTAATAAGCTGTTTATGCCTCTCGCTAACGGGGCTTGCAAGGAAAGTTAGCATACGAGTACATTAGCTTTATTCTGCGGCCACAACCTGCTGAAGAAAGATTACAATCACGAAAACTGTTTTCAATGCTCAAGTGTCTTCCATTGTTTGGAACGAGATCACGATTGTTTTACGCTTAGTTTCATGCATAATAATCCTACAGTTAGAATACAGAAAGGCCACTGAGAGAACAAGTAGGTCTATGTTACCGTAGAACTAATTTCCGCTTAATACTAAATGCATGCATAAAACGTATTGACCAGTGAACAAGTATTGGCTTCTAAAGAACGAATCTACTCCATGGACTTAGTTCCTACCAATTCAGATGCACAACAAATGTCAGAAACACACAGACCATTAAATTTGTATTATATGGAAGTTTTCAAAGAATCTAAATAAATTCCAAACACGTTGGTTGAACTTCAACGGAACACTCCCTTTACATAAGAGTAACGAAATTTAGCCTATATATTGATTTCTCTGACAACAATGACTTGCACGTGTTGGACACAAAATTACGCGATCCCAGTCACTGTATGCTTTATGGTTTAAACTGAGTACAAACATGTTCGGACATGTTTCTGGCTGAATACGGCCCTCTCGACATGTAAATACAGGCAATCAATCGATAGCGGTCATATCACATTTCAATGATTAATCTTTCTGGTCACACCTCACTTTACAGTCACCCTACAAGTGACGTTTGTCTCCCTGGAAGCCTAAGGCACCGGGCTGGCAACAACTGCTGAATTTCAGATCACTAAACTGAACCAGACTAGCACTGGAAGTCCTTCGAAATATTTTCCATGATTTTCGGGCAAAGGGAAGCATTTTCCTTATTTTCCATTTATTCGCCGTGCCGCTTATGGCATTCGCATATTCATATGTATCCTGGCTCAGTTATGGTACCCCTCAGGCGCACGGACCGCGTAGAGAACATCGCTTCCCAGTTAGTCCATTGGTGCGCGATAGGAATCTGTTGCGGCGATTACCTAGCAACGGCCGTTATTTACAGAGTCATTACTTAGTAGCGGGTCTACGTGCTACAAAGTGAGAGGTGTGACCCCACCGATGGTGTCTCCACCTTATCGTGGTGGTGGGCTTTGAGTGCTTCTCAGAACCTGAGAGCTATGCCGGCGGTAGCATAACTACTGGTAGCAGCACCCATGAAGGACAGATCAAGGGGTAGGTGCAAAACGAAGAGGGATACCCTGGTATTCCAGGTTTGGGGCTGAGCGTGAGGCTAACAACCTCACACCGTAAAAACTAAATTGTTTAGAAACCAGATAATCAGCGTCAGATGGATGGAGGAAAATCAGCGAGCAGAAATAAGTGGGCCATGACTTCTTCCATCCACACTCTTCTCAATTCTTCACTCTATCATTCGATGTTTCATCGTCTCAACAAATGAAGAATAGGGAGGAAAACAGGCAGATTGTTGAGGAGGCCAAAGCTCACCCTGAGCTGTAGCGCCGAGGGGAAGGGAGGAGAGAGGTGTGATGGGGTCCGGGCATATCACAAATGTGACACCCCACCCTATTCCGAAGGCCATACACACACACACATATGAATATATTTAATAAATACGTACTTTAAGAATACGATGCTGTTATCATTTATTAAAAGAATGATTAAGTTATGTAACAGAACTGATTTATAGAACTCCCACATTTTTGCTTACGTACAGGTATTGTAATTCTTTAAATTGAACAAGAGTATATTTTGAGCCCCTCTTAGGCTGGAAGCTTGGGTCAAAAACCCCTGGTGCCCCTCATCTATATGAGTCTCGATAATACTGTATACTTTTATGAAGTTCTCCTCATGGCCTATGGGATACTGCACTCTGTAACACAATTGAAATTCCTCACGTTCTCAGGAATTTTATTATCTAAAACAATTTCTGCTCATTCTAAACCATTTTGATTACAACTGCATTTAGTAACTCAGTTCTCTGCAACTCGAATTTGGATTTAACGACGCCGAAGAACAAAAACAGGCGAGAAACTTCGTGATTACACTCTTCCCTCGACGTTAGAGTTACTGACGGCCTCTTCAGACAAACAAACAAACAAACAAGTAAATATACTCTTCTATAAGCACTCTCCAGGTAAAAAGAACGAAGTTCATATACATTAAACGAGTTTTTCGACATGTTCTAAATGTCTCAACAGACTTGATAATGAAACGGTTCTCCGTTGTTCTGAATGCATTAACTGGTTTGAGAAACTAATCTTCGAGTTTCCGTCGTAGTAAAGCCATTAATCATCAAATTACTGTTTTATTGTTACTACTATTCATAACCGATCACTGGACTCGAATAAAACATGCTACCACGTCTTTCTTTATATCCCGTCGCTAACATTTCTTCCTCTACCAGCATCGTAATGACGGACTCCCCGCCTTGAAGAGAAAGCAACGCCATTCGACAGTGAATTCTAAACGAGTTTTGCAGGCAGATACTTTGAAGAATACGAAACACAATAATTGTATGTAAGATTTGAGGCTTTCATGGCGGTGACTATGAAGAAAGCAGTCTTCTGGGATTTGGCACCGTGTATAAGTGGTGTTAACCGACGTTTCGAAGGAACGTATCGCCTCCATCTTCAGGGTAGAAGAAAAATATAAGAATTCTNCAAGTCCTTTCCAGTTCTTTCATAATTCATCGTATCATTCGAAGCTGCGAACCTACGCCGTAAAAAGGAGCGCCATTAAATAAACCAATTCATTAAAAAAGGTTTCTGCAAAAGCATCTAACGCTTTCATTACTTAACATCGGACGAATTTAAAGGATCATTCCGGATACGGCTTGTTTCCATATCGAACAGTACAGCAGCTACGGTTTTCATCAATCTTCCCAGCAAATTACAGTCGCCACACAATACCTTGAACCTAACTTCATTAGTCATTCCACCAAAATCACTCAATCATGGACATTCTTTCATTCCATATCCGACGCTGCTGAAACTCTGCAGTTGATACGGCGCCATATCAACGATGACCATACAAAAACACACAAATACACCAAACAGCAGCATCGTTAAATAATCTGTCACGGATAATAGCATTCAACAAGGTTCATACTCCGATACTTTGCTTACTCTCCGCAATTGAAATAACAAAATTATGGGTGAAAACGGATACATTATTTTGCCACACTGTTTGCATAACCTAAACTATAGATTGACGTTAGCATGGCTATCTGGTATATAAATGTAAACATAATGCACATTGAGTGCGTTCGGTAGCGTGGCCGAGTGGTCTAAGGCGCTGGTTTTAGGCACCAGTCCGAAAGGGCGTGGGTTCGAATCCCACCGCTGCCATACTTTTTTTTAACTTATGTGGAACAACTAATGCACGTAGAACATACAACAACAAACACGTTTGTTTCCGTCAAACCGTCGCTACAGATTATAAACTACAAAGGTGGAATCCGCGAGGCAATTTAGCCACATCATATACACAATTATAACTTCAGCGCCATCTCTTAGAGCATCTCTAACCTGTCTAACAGGCCCAACAAAGCTATTACAGCACCATCTCTTAGTCAGTTTCCGAATTGCCTAGAGCACAACTGCAGTAACAATTGACGGCCATCGGATTATCGTCGATAATAATCGATTCATTTCTCAGAAAACTGGAACAATATACTAATGGTGTAAATTATTATGTTGAACCCGGGTAAGACGCGTGGGAAAAATAACTGGTTTTTATACACTTCCTGCTGTGCCACAAAAACACATGAAACATTAACTGAAAATGAATACATACACAATCCATGTTTTGTAAGATTTGAGGCTTTCACGGCGGTGACTATGAAGAAAGCAGTCTTCTGGGATTTGGCACCGTGTACATGTGGTGTTAACCGACGTTTCGGAGGAACGTATCGCCCCCATCTTCAGGGTTGNATGTGATTTTGTTCTTCATCTGCGACCATCCAGCTGTTAATTTTCTGCAAAACACTGGAAAGTCTTCTGACTGAAATACGGTACTATACACAAAATTTGGTTTGCAAAGATTTGAAACTGTATGTACACCACATCCTAATGATACATATATAATACTTCTCATACGTTTCTAAGCATTTATCACTGAACACAAGCTTTTTTTCTCGTGCAACTATCTCCCACACCTCGCTGTCAAACTTGGCTCTTCTTCAACTTGAATTTATAAAATTCATTAAATACAACACAAAAAATTACACAAAAATTATACTTGAAAAAATTCTGAGTAAGAGTGGCTGACAGTCAATGATCCATTCAAAACAAAACTCATACTGGCTAAAGAGAAGAATGCCAGCAGTCAGAATGCAGAAGATATTTTTGGAATACACATAACAATATCTGAACTTGTTCATTGCACCTATTATCAGACCTTGTGCCACAAGTGAAGGCATAAAAGTACTCAAAACAGAAGAAGCCACAGGGAAGCAGAAATGCATGGAGGGTATCTCTCACCATTACTAGATGATTTTCTCCACGCACTTCGCCACTCCAAGCATCGTTCCACCAAGTTAACTCATCCATGTCTACGACTCCATGCAAAGGACGGAATACTGTGCCATCACAAGCTCTACTTTGAATTGCTAATGTTTCAGGACCACCACAGAAAAGGGCATACTAACTATAACTTTGAAGGGAATTATATAATAAAGCCATTTCTCAGATTACCTGCATCTTTGAATTATTCCCCACACTAGTGTAGATAATTGGGTGTCTCACACACTCAGTGAAAATTGACATAGATAATTTGTGTCCTACCTTGCAAGTTGTCCAGCATATAGGTGAGGAGTTTGTGTGTGCCATTGGGTTCACCATACAATGTGAGGATCTCCTTGGTAAGTGGATTTCCTTGAAGACCCAACACATGTAGCTGGAACAACTTTCCCAATTCGTATGGGAGAACGCGAAGATGGTTGTTGTTCAAATGGAGTTCCCTGTAAACAATGTTACATCAACATATAGTGAAAGAACGAACTCAATTTTCAGTCTTCAAATTGTTGCTCACAAAAGAAGGGAAAATAAACCAAGAATCAAACCCACAAACATGGATACCAAACCATCAGTTTGACTTTCGACGAGCTCACTCGACCATCCAACAAAGCCATCGCATAGCAAATACCAAAACCAACGCACTAGATAACAGTACTGCACAGCAGCATTTTTAGATATAGCCCAGGCTTTTGACAAAGTCTGGCATCCTGGCTTACTTTACAAAATAAACAAAATTTTCCCAATAAATTATTACAGCCTACTCAAGCCATATTTAAGCAAAAGATCTTTCAAAGTCAAAATAAATGAGGAAATATCCAACCGCCTACCAATTCAATCAGGGGTGCCTTAAGGAAGCTTACTAAGTCCACTACTATACACCCTCTGCACACATGATCTACGCACAAAAAAAATAAATAAATAAAAGAAAAAAACCCTCCCCGACAACAGGTACTTTTGCAAATGACACTGCTATCTTCGCTACCCACGACAATCCAACCACACCCTCCTCTCATCTACAGGATCATCTAGTCCTCATAGAAGCATGGCTAAACAAATAGAAAATCAAAGTAAACGAATCAAAGTCCACACAAACAACTTTCACCCTCCGAAAAGGTACCTGCCCCACAGTGCAAATAAATCACATCAACATATAACCAAAAGAACAGGTCAAATACCTAGGATTAACCTTTGACAACAAACTAAACTGGAGACAACACATAATCAAGAAAAGAAAACAGATGGACCAAAAAACCAAAGAACTCAACTGGCTCACAGGAAGAAAATCCCACCTCTCCATCGAAAACAAGTTACTAATCTATAAAACAGTCATCAAGCCTATATGGGCATACCGCATAGAACTCTGGGGCTGTGCCAGCAAATCCAATATTGCCATTATACAGCATGCCCAGTCCAAAATACTCTGAACCATCACAAATGCACCATGGTATGCATCCAACCACACCCTACATACAGATCTAAAAACTCCTTATGTAGTTAGTTAGTTATTGGAGAGGGTGGGTTTCCCCATGCACTTAGACTTGTAGTGGTCCATTGTGCTTCCCTCTGATTTCTACCAGTCTCTATATCCTACTGGTACTGGTGCTTACCATCAGTCCCGCCCAGCCAGCGAGACCGGCTCTACTGGCTGAGAGGTATATATAATGCTTCCCCCATCTACCAGAGGTATTAGAGACTGCTGTTGAGCGGGAAACATCCGCAATTTGGCTTAGTGACCTCCTTTGGAGGTATGAGGTTCTTTTACGTGCCGTAAAGCTACAACACAGGACCCACGGCTTAAAGTCCCTCCCAGAGGACTTGTTCCCTGAATTTTTCTGCCCTTAAAAATTCGACGACCATCGCCGGGTATTTGAACCCGTGTACTACGAGTCATGAGGTGGGAATGTTACCTCTAGACTATGGAGACCGCTTAACTTCTTATGTAACAGAAGTCATCCGAAAAAACAACACCAAGTACTTCAACAAACTGGAAAATCACTCCAACCCACTTCTTCAACCACTACTACAACATCATGAAAATCAAAGACACAAAAGAAGTTGGCTATCAGATCTAACAAACTGAGGAAAAAATTACTGGATGTTTATTCCGCACATGCCAGAAGAGTGTAGAATAAATAGTTATTAAATTGTACACCAATCAGCACATTAACTTATAGACTGTACAATCTGATTGTCAGTAAAGGAGAGAGAGAGAGAAAAAAAACAAAAGAAGGAGAAAGTAGGCCTCAAATTTTTCACACACTACAGAAGCAAAGAAATACAATGGAATTATTTTAGATGTTGTCTAATGTCAGAAGTATATTTAATGCCCAAAATAACCACAGTGTAATGACTCAACCATTGTTACAAACCTTCAGAAAACAGAACAGTCTCTGAACTGTTAAACTAATGCAGACTTATAGGAAGTACTAACAATCTTTATTGCTATAGCAGAAAAATTACATGTATGTTTTGCTTTACTGCAATTACATTATTACAAATCCTGAATGATTTTTTTAGTTATAAGTCCATGCAACAGCACTGATTACTCAAGCAGTACATTTGTGTCTGAAGTGAAGAGTCTTTCTAATGAGGAAAACCACAACAGAATACAGATATAGGAATCATATGGGGAAACAATACTTATCCCACATATCCCACAAAATTACACAGTTGCAACATGGGATACATATTAAAGTATAATATAACAATCTCTCTGGTACAGACTCTTACATCAGCAAAAAACCATTATTCAACTAGTCAAGATTTCTCATCTTATAATTACATGTGTGGTTCATCACCACTGATTGTGAGATTTTAGGCTCCCACAGCAGTATCAAGACTACTGTCTTCTGGAATATTATGTCAAGTTTGGTATACCCTAAGGACGAAGGAAGTTGGTTCCTCCATAACAGTGGTACCTATCTGCTATCTACATGGTGTCACATCTCATTAACACCATAACCTTCATCACCTTTGTCAAAATCTTGCCACTAGCCCTATCCTGAAGCAGTCCAGTATCATTTGCATTTTACAGCTCATTTTCCTATGGTCTGCTCAAATATAATTCTCCCATCTATGCCTTGGATTGTTTCTATAAGATGCTTTCTTGGATGTCACCATTAGCTTAAATACACATTGCTTGGCCTATAATGAACACACAAAAACAAAGAACATAAAAAATAACAGATCACAGAAAAATGTAAGAAAGGGCCTGTGTCTGAAACATTTCTGAGGGTGTATCATCATTAGATAGTGCATTCAACCATTATGTCTTCATCAGAAATTTACTGGATTCTATTTTCAGTGCATTGTGGGGACCAAAATAGACCTTACCCAAGGTCTCATTGAAAACTCAGGACTTTCCTCTGTAACATTCACTGCTCAAAGATGTATGTGGGCTATTTAGAAAGTAACCTCCAGTGAGGTACATACTTCAGCTACTTCCCAACATAGTCACTGCCGGAAATGACACACTTGTCATATCAGGAAATAAATTTCTGCATGTCTGTGTCAAAGAAGTCTGCCGCTTGTGAGCTCAGCCACGTTCTGACACTTTCCATCAACCTCTAATTATTGCTGACGCGCTGTGATTGCAACCAGTTCTTCAGGTAGCTAAACAGGTGGCAGTCACTTGAAGCAAGATCATGGCTGAAAGGAGGGTGGTCAAACAACTCCCAGTTGAAATGTTCCACAGTGCTCGAGTGCAAGCAGCTGTATGCAGACGCACGTTGTCATGGAGGAGCACTACACCAGATGTTAGCATTCCATGCCTTTTGTCCTAAATGGTCAGCCCTATGTAGTTTTTATAGCGTTTGCAATACACTTCTGACATTGTTGTGGTCCCTTATTGCATGAATTCCACCATCAGAACTCCTTTCCTGTCCCAGAAAACAATTGCCATCAGCTTTCTGGCAGGCAGACAATGTTTTTTTAAATACTTTGGCTTGTCTGATGAATGTGTGTGCATCCACTGCTTTGACTTTTCTTTGGTTTCAGCATCCACAAATTAAACCCAGGTTTTATCACCTATTATAATGTGATTGAGAAATTCATTACCAACTTTGTGGTATTACCATTCTCTGTGTTCTGTACACACCTGGGAGCATTTTCAGAGCCAATCTTGTGAAAAACTTGTGATAAACTCATAGAGAACAAATGTGTAAAATTTGTCGAAATTCACATAAAAGTTCTTAAATTGTGAAGTGTCATCTTTCACTTTGAACAAGATCATCAATTACTACAAGATGGCAGACCACTTCCCTCTTCATCGTGAACATTTGTTCATCCATTTTTTAATATTCAACACCATTGTTTTACAGTTCCTTCAATGATTACATTTTGGCCGTAAACCATGCATAATTCACAATGGATTTCTGCAGCATTCATGTTTCTAGCAAAAAGAATGAGGATAACGGTGCAAATTTTGCAGCTGATAGCCTTTACCTGAGGTAGATGAGTTCACCGAGTTCAGCTGGCAGGCTACGCAGCTTGTTACTGGACAGGTCAAGGGTACGTAAGTTGACCAACCTCGAGATGTCCGGCGGGATTCTTGAAAGGCAGTTGTCGTTCAGGTACAATGATGTCAGGTGTGTAAGATGCCATAGATTTGGGCTTAAGTTCCTAATAGTCCCTGCGGAACAAAAGATAATCACGTGAGAAACATTTCTTAAATTGCATACCTCAACATTAACCATCACAATGCTAGGTTTTGTCTCCAGTTTGAACAGTCATGTGTTAAGTTTCCTTTTATGTATAAGAGATGTGTATCATGGGAATGAAATAATTCATCATTCATCAGCACCACCAACATGCTGAAGAATGCTACTGACTAAAAATTCTGTTCAGATTGGTACTGAACAGTCCAGCTGCTGAACATTTATGAAATAAGTGACAGGAAAGAACATCACACACACTAGGTCTTCTTTGCAGGTAAGCAGCCCTGAGGTGAGTTCATACTACAGAGACACATTTTATGAGAGTAAACTGTTTTCTAGTAGCATGGAAAAGGTAAATGACATTTACAGTCACACAATAATCTGTCATAAAAACTGTATAGCAACATGAATACTTAAGGTATTCTACCTATACAGAGTGTAAATGTCCTGCAGATTTATGGCCACGAAGACCCACAGGTTTCTAGGAACCTCCTTACAAACAATGTACATCACAAGTGGATTAAAATTCAATTTTCACTTGATATGAACAATCAAGAAAACAACACACCAATGAAATATGTAAGTACAGAAATAACACACTTAGATACACAAGCAAAAAAATAACCATACATTAAAAGCAGAATTATATTAATTAAACACGTGTTATGCATTTCAGAGAAACAGACACATTTAAAAAAAGATATGAAGAAGAATACACCAATGATGTAACAAAAAGAATGATGAAGAAAGCAGTCTTCTGGGATTTGGCACCGTGTATATGTGGTGTTAACCGACGTTTCGGAGGAACGTATCGCCTCCATCTTCAGGGTAGAAGGAAAAATATAAGAAATCTGCAAGCGAANGATAATCCATATATATTCTAATATTTTAATAATTTTAATAACATTTTATACACATAATGACCACTGCATGGATTAAGTATGATTCAGTGTTGTTAATTGTTGCATTATAGATGGAACAATAGCCTATAAGTGACACCTCAATGCAACAGATGCTGAAATATAATATTATTAAGTTCCAAGCTTATAAACACAACAAAATGGACAGAATTCTTCTTTACCTGTTATCTCCAATTCCGGCCAATGAGATTTCTTTCCAGCAGCTGCATCCTCACTTGACATAATGGTGTGAGCGCGACGTGGGTTGGTATTTTCATACTTATCCTTGTGATTGCGTGACATGCTAACACCTGCAAGAGTACAAGAATATCATGATATATAGGAATATATAAAACAAATTATCAATTTTCGGCTTCTTTAGTGATTCACTGCTGATATTGATCTTGTGGAGTGTTGGCTCTGTCTGAAAGTGAGTGTTTTGCTGACATTTCAGAGGAACATGCAGCTTCCACCTCCAGGGTCACATTTTGACAAAGACAGAAAATTATACCAAAATGTCAGAAACAGCTCATATCTACATGGCACCAACACTGTAAAACAGGATCAGCATCAAGATATAAGACAGTAGAGAGATAAGTATCTACTATGACAGTGCAACTGAGAATACTATGAATTACAAATAAACTGCACTGACAATCATCTATTTCCAGGAAATTACATCAGAGAATTGCTCACTGAGAGTTGTGATATCCTATGGTGCATCCAGAGTTTAAAACAGAGCACTGGTATGTTGTGATGTTGGTATGTGAGATGTTGCAGTGTAGAGTCTACAGTGAAACGTTATACCAGTGCTATCACCAAATTCACAAATATTATCCCTAAGGCCGCGCCATAGCTTAAGCGGTTAGTCGCTGGCTTCCCATTGCTGCGGTCTAGTCAAGTGGGATTTGTGATGAACAAAGTGGCACTGGGGCAGGTTTTCTCCGAGTATTTCTGTTTCCCCTGCCAATCCTCATTCCATCAAATTCTCCATAAGCATAATCACAGTACAGATACAATAGGACATATGGAGGCCGACATGCCAAGGGGACCTAATATGGATTCCACCTTACAGTATACAAACTCTAACTACTGTAAACAATTGTAACTTTACTCTCTTATTGTAATCTGCCAATGTACAGTAACTGACTTGTCCTATATCATGTAACAATGACCTACAGAGACAAAATAAATAAATAAATAAATAAATAAATAAATAAGTAGTACAGGCTTTTACTTACAATGGTGTCACNTTCTCTTACTGTAATCTGCCAATGTACAGTAACTGACTTGTTCTATATCATGTAACAATGACCTACAGAGACAAAAAAAAAAATAAATAAATAAGTAGTACAGGCTTTTACTTACAATGGTGTCACCTGTACACACTCAAATATTCTCTTTCCTCACACTAAGTTACAGTGTACTTGTGCTTCTTCTATAAGATGGTGGTGAAAGCAATTCATATGTATTCATTTTAACAAAGTTGGTAAAACCATTATTTGATGATAAAGATACTACACATCATATTATCAGTCTATTAAGTTCCAAGACACTATCAACAGTTTGAGTGTTTCTATTTTATCATGGTGATATAACTGTGTTCTGTGAGAAGTGGCATACATCGCAAGCATTTCAATAGCTTCAGGTGGTAAAGAAGATATCACACATACATCACAAATTGTATGAGTAAATCTACCTTTCAGGTTGATAAAATTAGACAAACCTGTTTAAAAATGGGATAGCCAGCTGGGTATGCAATGAACTTGTTTATAATGTACCTGGTCAGCCTGCATTAATTAAATAGGACTCATAACATATAACTCATAACGAAACACGTTACAATATATTATAAATATCTTAATTGCTATTTAATTCTAATTTTAATTTTTATCCTTTTAATTTCAAATTTTAAACTACATTTAAATTAATTTGATTGCATGAAGACTCATACAAACACAATATGGATCCATATTGAACACTGATGCAATTTAAGAACTAGTACCGGTATTCTTGTACGCCTGAAGATGACCCAAGAAAAGGGTTGAAACATGTAGTGTTACCACCAACAACTAATAAAATAAATGTTGACACAGTAGTGTCTACTTCGTCTCTTTCAGAATTACTGTTGTGTAGACTGTCCCAATATATATATATATATATATATATATATTTTGTATGACACACAACAGGATGCATACTACTATAAAGGTTGCATTAATTATGCTATTTGGCTGCACCATAGCTCAAGCGGTTGGTCGCTGGATTCCTACCACGGCGGCCCGGGTTCGATCCCGGGTCTGGTCAAGTGGGATTTGTGGTGGACAAAGTGGCGCTGGGGCAGGATTTCTCTGAGTACTTTGGTTTCCCCTGCCAATCTTTATTCCACCAATTGCTCCTCAATCACCCTCACCTATCATCTGCAGCTGGTACAATAGGTCAGAAGTGGCCGCAGTACAAGGGACTTAGACCACCCCAATAGCAATAAAAGAAAATTACGCTGTTCTGTGTTGTAATGCTACTGCCATATGAGCCATGGCATAAATAAAATACAGGTCCAGCCTTATTTATATTATATGCATCCAGTCTAGACAAATAAAATAGTAAAGCCAGTATATAAAGTAAGAGATCAATCACAGTTTTCCAGCACAGAGGTATAAGTTAACTGAAGGCAGGATACAAAATACTCGTACATGAGTGATAACTGGAAGACTTAATCCCATAATGGATTCAATAATCAAAGAGAGTAAGAATGGCCTCAGGAAAGGATGATCATGCACTGACAGTGTTTTCACTCTAAGAATGCTAGCATATACCAGATATCAGCATTCATTGGAAACACATACCTTTTGCAGACTGTAAGAAAGGTTTGGACTGAGTCAACAGACAAACATTATGGGAAATACTAACAACAAAAGGAACCCAAAGGCACATAATCCAAGTTATAAAGAGCTTATATAAGACAACACTCATCAGATTTGATAGAGGGACCAAAGGTGTAAAATAAAAGAATGATGACAAAGTAGGGTGCTCATCAAGTATGCAGTTTGTCAGCAACCTTATTCAACGTTTATTTGGACAAAATGTTAGATGAAAGAAGCTCAGAAGTTCAAACAAGAATTATAATTAAAAAAAAAACCTTAAAATTACTATTTTCTGATGACAAAGAAGTTATCAAAAAGGCAGAAGATATATTAGAATACAAAATAAATATGTTGAACCAAACAGTGGAGAAAAATAACTTCAAAATATTACCAAGAAGGACAGAAGGAAAGAACCTGGTATGACCTAAGATCATAACAAATGGTAATATATTACAATAAGTTTTAAAATTTTAATTATTTTGGTTGCAATTTATCTTATAATTATGAAGGCAATGTATAAACAAAACTGATAAGATATTAAGGTATATGAGGTATGATATGACAGGTTTTGGCAAAACGAAGAAAATGTCTTCGATGCTGAATGCTGATGTATAAGGTTCAAACAATAATAATGGGTGATAATATTATTATATGAATATTTGAAACACTCCAACACATTGCTATATAACCAGCTCTTGGTGGATATTAATAAATATGGATGTAGTCATCAAATTAATTGTTGTGCAGATTGTTGTTGAAACAATTTTACTAGCACATTAAAGGATGCTGAAACTGAGGGTTCTTAGCACAAGCCTAAAATAAAATTTTCAGAGAATTCCAGCAAACCACTTCTGCTACTTGGAAGTGTAATTATATATTTAATACATCCTCTAATTTTTTTTACCACATTTAATAATCAGATAAAATTAAAGTTAATGAGAATCTAACTATCATTATGCAATTTACTAATACAACAAACAGCTCTGAGTTTAGAAAATTGTACTCATTTACATTTGAGCGTGTTTGACCTTCCAATTTCTTTACCGTAACACCTTATTTCCTTCATTACTTTTACAAACTAATATTTCATTTAACAACACACTCCCATCAAGAAACCGTTACTTATGAAATTAAAGTTTATAAGCCTGGTTAGAAAATTTATTCATATATTTCACTTAATATTACAAATTTGTTCCTCTATTTAATTTGGTATCGTGCCATGAAGACATATAGAAGAGTGGAGATAATATAGCTCTATGCACTTTTAACTTCGGCATGAGGAGACAGTGGTCAGGTTCATGCCTTGGCTATTAAGTCCTTGGGGGTGGGCCTGAGCACTGGACTGGATGCTGTGGAAAAGAGAAAAGTCTCTCGTCCCTGTTGGAAATCAAACTCTGATTTTTTGGCTGTCCACCTCACACTGTATCATCTATGTTAAATGCACTATCAATGCCGACAAACTAAAAAGTGATTAAAAGTTCCCTTTCTTCACCTGGCTTTTATACATTAAATGGCTGCCAAGTAACAAAATACTGGTAGTTGTAGACTGCATGTGCACTTCCTAGTAACAAGACATGGGATGTAGAAATGGAGGAAACTGGATCAGCAGATTTTATATATACAAAAATCAAATTGTTCAAGGACAATTCTTATATTAGGGGTAGGTTAAAATTGTGAATGACCTCAGTCAAGACTTTCAAATCACTCGTTAAGGTTCGAAACCAGCTACTACCTGAATATAAATCACCATTCAACAACTAAGTTGGCCTACTCAGTTTCTTCACATTTCACTACATACCTTTCCTGCTGCTCATAAGTGATGGTAAAATAATCAAGAGAGACAGAAAAATATTTTCTAATACTGATATACCTTATGATGTCATAATTTCTATTCCAAGCTACCATTCACATTGATCTTCAACATACTATTCACTGACAACATAAACAGTTGACACAGAATAATTACTCTAGAAATTCCTGGCCTTTTATGAAACCACACATTTATTACGGTGTTCATAAGAGCAAGACCTTATTGTGACCCAGATTAATCCAGTACACACCATCATACACATTCTTTGGACCAGTTTCCAATATTATACGCCCATCTAAGCACAGTCCTTTCAGCAGTCTTCTCCTTTCAGCTTTTCTTACCAAAATTCTGNTCCCATCTAAGCACAGTCCTTTCAGCAGTCTTCTCCTTTCAGCAGTCTTCTCCTTTCAGCTTTTCTTACCAAAATTCTGTACACATTTCTGATCTCCTGCATGCATGCAACATACTCCACCCCCATCATTCTTGCCCTGATCATCCTATTAATGTTTATTGATGAGTACACATTATGAAGTTCTCCATTATGCAAATCTGGAGCCCTGTTTTAACATCTCAAACACACTCGGTTTTTACAGCAAACAGTTGTTAGCTTCCTATCCTCTTCAAAGTCTGAGAACCACCCAATGCTGTCTGCCCATGAACACTTATTCAGATGATTCACAGCCACCCTCTATATCAGGCTTCCCACCACAGCAGCACAGGTTCAATCCTGGGTCAAGTCATATGGGATTTGTGGGCAAAGTGGCAATGGGGAAGGTTTTCTCCAAGTACTTTGGTTTCCCCTGGCAATTTTCGTTCCACCAAATGCTCCATATTCATCTATCATCCGAGGCTGATGCAATGAGCCAATTAGTTTCTGATATACCAAGTGACAGTCTCTCCCCACTCCATGAAACTACCCTTTACACTCATACATCCCTAATATTTTTCTAGCAGAACAAAGTGGTTAGCCTCTTGGGCCAAGCATACGAGGGGGTACCCAAAAGAAACCAAACTTATTTTTTTTAAACTTATTTATTCAAATTTTAAGCACAAACCTTCAATCCCCTTCAAAGTACTCTCCACTTACACTAATACACTTGTCTAGTCTTTTATTCCATTTTTCAAAACATTGTCTAAATTCATCTTTTGAGATGCTTGACAGCGCCTCCGTCGTTTTTTCCTTCACCTCAGCAACATCAGCAAAACGCT